TGCAGAATTCGTGGCAGGCGCAGCACTTTGTGAACCTCCATGCTCCGTTAGAGGCTCTGGCTGTTGCGTTGTCGGCGTTGTCTGCGGTTGTCTGCGGTGGTCGCCGGTCCGTCCCTCCATTGTGATTAGAGTATTCACTTGTTTCTTGACGTGCAGAATTCGTGGCAGGCGCAGCACTTTGTGAACCTCCATGTGCAGAATTCGTTGCAGGCGCAGCGCTTTGTGAACCTCCATGTGCAGAATTCGTGGCAGGCGCAGCGCTTTGTGAACCTCCATGTGCTGATTTCGTGGCAGGCACAGCGCTTTGTGAACCTCCATGCGTAGATTTCGTGGCAGGCGCAGCACTTTGTGATCCTCCATGTGCAGATTTCGTGGCAGGCACAGCACTTTGTGACCCTCCATGTGCAGATTTCGTGGCAGGCACAGTGCTTTGTGAACCTCCATGTGCAGATTTCGTGGCAGGCGCAGCGCTCTGTGAAGCTCCATGCGCAGATGCCGTGGCAGGCGCAGCACTTTGTGAACCTCCATGTGCAGATTTCGTGGCAGGCACAGCACTTTGTGAACCTCCATGTGCAGAATTCGTGGCAGGGGCTGTTGCGTGGTCGGCGTGACATGGCTAGATTTTAGAAGTGTCTCAGAAGCTTTGCAGTTTAGAATCACGTTTCAAACCAGAGGTGAATCGCCCGGAGTGCTCAAGCTTCGCTGCAGAGAGTGTGCTGGATCTACCAGGCTGCTGTATGTGACTTTTATACACGCTGTTTGGATTCATTCTCTGCGCAGTCTCACTGCATAGGGTTTGCAGCTAGTGATATCTGACGTGCAGGTTTTCAGAAAGTGTGTCGGATCTACCAGGCCGGTTTATGTGAATTTTCTAAATGCTGTTTGGACGCATTGTCTGCGCAGTATCGCTGCATAGGGTTTGCAGCTAGGGTTTGCAGCCAGTGCTATTTGTTTACTTGAAGCTTTGCTTTTGGTTCAAGCAAGAGACGACCCCATTTGGGGAGCCGCTTCAGCTGCTGACATGGCAGCCGTACATGTTCTCGAGAGTCACATCTCTCGATGGTCTACTTCTTTTGCGCCCACCTCCTCGCGAGATTTTGGAGCGGGGCCCTCCTGAGTCCATTGTCACTCGTGTAGCAGAATTCCAAAAGAGAGCAGAACGATGCCGAGATGGCGCTCTACGTCTACGTGAGCAATGGGATGTTTGTGTTGGGCGCAGATGAGCATCTTCTTGTAGAAATGCTCCCATTTGCCAAGCACTGCAGGGCAGATGCCCCTTCGCACAAAAGATCTGTGACGCAGATGCGCATAGCATCTTCTTGCAGATACGATCCCATTTGGAAAGCGCTGCCGGGCAGATGCCACTTCGCACCTGCATTTTGTTGGATAATAGCCCTGCCACTTCGCACCTGCATCTTGTTGCAGATTTGTGACACAGATGAGCGTAGCATCTTCTTGCAGATACGATCTCATTTGGAAAGCGCTGCAGGGCAGATGCCACTTCGCACCTGTGACGCAGATGAGCATAGCATCTTCTTGCAGATACGATCCCATTTGGAAAGCGCTGCCGGGCAGATGCCACTTCGCACCTGCATCTTGTTGATAATAGCCCTTTCGTCTGCGCGATGAAACAAAGGAGTTTCGGTGTGCTTTCAATGTCAAAACCACCATAAACGAAACGTGGCTCATTTCCTATACAGTTGGCTGTGTCTATGCCCACTCCTCTGTGTGTTCAGTCCTGTTTTCGCTGTTTTGGCAACATTCTTCGACAATGTGCAGGTGGAGTATCTTCTTGCAGACGCGATCCAATTTGGAAAGCGCTGCGAAGCAGAATACCAAGGCGCAAACGGTGCGCTTTCAATGTCAAAACGACCATAAACGAAACGTGGACCATTTCCTATGCAGTTGGCTGTGTCTCTATTTGTTCAGTCCTGTTGTGCTTTTATGCAAATATCGATCGACTGCTGCATGGTTCTTGGAAACATCGTTCGACCATATGCAGGTACGGCATCGTCCCAATTGGAAAGCTCTGCGACATAGATCCCAAGGCGCAAATGATGTGCTGACAGTGACAAACAAAATCTTTGGTCTTCACTTTTTACAGACGGTTATGACGTCTTTTGCATGTAATACTCATGACGACGCCCAGGTTCACGCACACGACCTGCTTTCGTCTGCGCGATGAAAAAGAGCTTGGCTATAGAGTTTTACGTCGGCAGCGCGATGGGGTTTTACTTCGGCTAGTTGTGGCTGTACACACATGTCTGCGCAATACCTCGTACATCCGCCGTGCACATTACTCTCCCACACCTCTCTCCCACCCCTCTGTTGTGTAATTCTGATATAGTAAATTCCTGACATGGCCATGTTGTAGAAGCTATTGAGACTCTGACTGCTTTGTGCTTTAGAAACTTAAGATTCGTAAAGACTCACTCATCCGACCCTTAGCGTATTCGCGCACAACTACTTCCAAATGTGGCTTTAGGTCGCCCAGCAGGTTGCCACACATGCACATGGTCTGTCTCGTCCTCTCATGTCTTCATCTTTTTGTCTTCTGCGCGTGCGCGCCCACACCTCAGCCGGAGCCCTAGTTCTAGATCTTCGCCCCCTTCTATGGGGGCGTGTGTGTGAAACCCTTGTGTCACAGGGCCTGATTTCATCTGATTTTCTACCCGTGCCAACGAAGCTACGGAAATCAGTTGGAGGCGCCAACTCTTGTACCTGCGCTTTAATCTGGTTGTGATGTTGAGTGACCACTGACTCTAGCTGACCAGGTTGTTTAGGTCGCTGGTTGTTTAGGTCGCTCTCAGGTTGGCAAATGTTCATCCTGTCGCCTTGCGATCATTGACTTTGAACTTTGAGATTTCGGGCCTCCCTTTCTAGTTTGGACCTCCAGGATGGTCAGTACAGGGCAGATGAGGCGAGGAGTGCCTCCCTAGTCTGAGGGGTGTGGGGCAAGCGTGCGCTCGCAAATATGCTTTCACACGCGTGCTCTCATGTATGCGCTTTGATCTGAGTGTTCTCTCATGTGCGCTTTCTGATGCATGCTCTCACGTGTGTGCTCCCTTGTCTGTGAGCCTTTGGAATCACAGGGAACCTTGTGGTTCACGTTGCCAAACGGGGGTTTGTCCATGCCCCTGCGCGTGGGGCCAGACTAGTCCACACTAGAAGAGGTAGGCTTGCGCCAGACAAAATTTAAGATTTGACGACTTGGCTTGATTCTGAGCAGGCTGAACGCCAGGAGTAGCTGTAGCCCGCAGGAGGCCAGAGCAGGCTACGCCAGGGGTAGGCCACAGCGGCCGTAGTTCACTCAAGACCCATTGGGGCCTGTCCTAACCTTAGGTGCGCATACAGCGTATGCATAAACCAGGCCACTTCCACCTAGGTTCTGTCTAATGAGGTTTGGCTTCGTACTTCCGGCCTGTTCACTTGCTTCCCCCTTTCACCTTTTTTCAAATCACGCATTTTCTTTTTCGTCATTCTTTTCATGTCTTTCCTGCCTTCTTGTCTCGTCATCTCACGCCGTTTTTTCCCACACACTGGTCTGACCCTTAGCGTGTGGGCGGGCAACTACTTCCAAACGTAGCTTTAGGTTGCCCAGGTTGTTACAAGGAGGTCTGCTTCATCGTTTGTCCCTGGTCATTTGGTTCTCTTCATCGCAGCCACATGCACATGGTCACATGGTCTGTCTCGTCCCCCTCTCATGTCTTCATCTTTTTGTCTTCTGCGCGCACACGCCCAAACCTCAGTCTGGACCCTAGATCCTGGCCCCCCTCTACGCTAGGGCGTGTGTGTGTGTGTGTGTGTGTGTGGTGTGTGTGTGTGTCTGTCTGTGTCTGTGTCTGTGTCTGTGTCTGTGTCTGTGTCTGTGTGTGTGTGTGTCACACCCTGGTTCTAAGGGTTTTCCACCTTTTCACCTTTCCACTACCACCGAGATCGTTTTTTCCATTGATGTGAATTCATCACAGGCAGGGGGGCAAGGCCTCCAGCGACGAACCTTGCCCAACGAAGCTAAGTCGCTGGAGGGGAAGCACTGAGAGACGTCTCAGTGTGTACCTGCCGAACAACTGTTGCACACGCTGTCCACTTTTGCTGTTTGTTTCCATGGTGGTTCATGATACTTCCCCCAAACCTTTTTCCTTTCAGCCACTTGCA